GGGTAGATATGCATGCACCTGGGGGAATCCAATATGGCCACTGTGTCCGGACATACGTCACCAGGAAGTAGACAAACCGACGCGTAGCGTCACGTGCGTCGTGACTTCATCAGGGTTGTATTCATGTGACCCTGATGAAGTCACGACGCACGTGACGCTACGCGTCGGTTTGTCTACTTCCTGGTGACGTATGTCCGGACACAGTGGCCATATTGGATTCCCCCAGGTGCATGCATATCTACCCACAGGCTGGGAAAAACGCTTTTTTATGGAAAGGAGCATGTGAGTGGAATACTTTGTAATTTTTAACTTTGCCTATTAAATTTACTACACTATGGAAGGCTTTCTTGTCTTTTTATGAGTTGCATAAGAGAGGAGGAGGAATAAGGAGTCTGCCAGAGGAATACACCACTGAGGTGGTAACTGCTTTGAGGCCCTGTGTGGGTCGAGGAAGGGAGGTGAGCAGGCATTGCTGCCATTTGAAGGAGAGTACTTGCACTTAGAAGTGGAGATCACGTGTGTGTTCCAGCTTAAAGCACAGTCACATGCATGGAATTTTTTTCACCTTTGATATTGTTTTGTTCACCTATGGCATATATCATTTATGTATAATTTAGACACCATTGTATGTGGCCAATATTCTGTTTTCACGTATATATATATTCTGTTCATTATATTTGATTTATGCACTATATATTTAGTTTCCTAATGTGTGTTATTTAGCTATTTTGGTTGACACTATTTTTTCTTTTCACTAGAGGGAGTCAACACACATTTATTATATATAGTGGTCACTTTGATTTATAATTACACTATATGGAGATACATGATTGTATTCATGTGATACAAGCGCTTCACTAATTTTTAATTTTATTTTGCTCAGAACATGTGTCGCCACTGTCCTTCTGGTATCTGGTGACGTCACAGCTGCCAGTCACTCTGCTCTCTGAAACCCCTGGAGCCCTGGAAACCATCAGCATGGCTAGGTGGAGGAGGACCCTACGGCTTGCCAATATCTGACCTGCACCACTGGAAGATCACCACTTACACTACTTTAATTTGGGAGTTCATTAGTATTATTAAACGCGCCTTTTATGGAAATCTAAGGTTAGACTGGCGCAACTGTTTTGTCTTTCTTCCTTTTCCCAACTGCTGTTTTGAGATCTTCCCACAGGGATTTAGATCTGGACTCATTGCTGACCAGTTCAGTACTCTCCAGCGCTTTGTCTTAAATGATTTCTGGGTGCTTTTGTTTTTATTATATCTTTTATTACGTTTTTCATTCCAAAAACACAACCCTATAACATTTACATCTAAAATACAAACAATTCTCCTGAATTTCACCCCCCCCCTCCCCCCCACTACCCACCCTCCTGTCCACACCCTCCGCCCAACCCACCCCAGTCCATCCCTCTCCAACAATCCAATTCCTATCTATACCCTTTCTCCCCAATTCTCTCTTCCTACTCTTCTTTATCTTATTCTTTCTTTCCCTCCGACCTCTCTTTTCCGTTTTCCTGTTTCTGTTACGGTCATACAAGACAATCCCTTTAAATCTCCTACCATGGATCAGATCACTGGGCCGCCCACTACTTCTGCATATTTTCCACATGTCTTGAAGTCAAACCATCTTTCCCATTCCTTTCCAAATTTTTCTATTTTACCTTTGTCTATATGGTATAACTCCTCCGTCTTCTTTATATAATCCACCAGTTCACTACTTTCCAGTGCTTTGTCTTAAACCATTTCTGGGTGCTTTTTGGCATGTGCTTTGTATCATCACTATCCTGCTGTAAGACCCATGACCTCTGATGGAGGCCCAACGTTCTGAAACTGGGCCCTACACTGCACCCCAGTATTCTTTGTTAGTCTTCAGATTTCATAATACCATGCACATGGTCAAGACATCCACTGCCTGACGCAGCAAAGCAACCCCAAAACATCAGTGAACCTCCACCATGTTTGACTGTAGGGACTACTATTCTTTTCTTTAAAGCCCTCATAGTTTTTTCTGAAAATAGCAGAATGATGGGCTTTACCAAAAAGATGTAATTTTATTTAGCCTGTCCACAGCACATTCTCCCAAAAGGATTTGGTCTTCCTCAAGTAAGTTTTGGAAAACTCCAATGTGGCTTTCTTATGTCTCTGTGTAAGCAGTGGGGACATTTGGGTCTCCTACCATAGCGTCCCTTTTCATTCAGATGGCAACATATAATGCAAGCTGACACAGTTGTGCCCTGTGCCTGAAGGTCAGTTTGAATTTGTCTGGAAGCTGATTAAGGTTCTTTATCCACCATTCGAACAATCCTTCATTGCAATCTTTGATCAATTTTTCTCTTTCATCCACGTCCAGAGAGAATAGCTACAGTGCCCAGTAGAGTATTTTGATTTTGCGCTGACCTAGGCAAGACTAAAATCGAGCACCCCCTAATCTAAAACTCCTTCCTGTTTAAGATCCACCCATTTAGGACAGGAGGGGAGCGGCGTGTCCAGTGGGGGGATGCAGGAAGCGTGATGGGTTGCAGGAAGCATGATTGGAAGGGGGGTGCAGCATAACAGGAGTGGGAAAGCACCAGTCCTCCAAGCTATTTCCTGTTCAGTATCAGCTCCTCCAGATGGTGCCAGGAGTAGCAGGAGTAATCATTTGCAGTAGCAAAATGCTTCTTACTCACCGGACCTTTAGAAAGAGGCAATGCTGCAGGGGAAATAGCTGGTCTTTTCTGGAAGACCTTATAGTCTCTCTGTGATAAATGTGTGGCTTTGAGGAGTGGATGCTCTGTCCTGTGCAGAATAGAGCCTCTTCTCTGTCCCGGTGCGCCATCTTGCTTGCTCTACGGAAGAAATCTGCCAGCCGTTTAGGCTGTGTTGGACCCAGCTGCCGGTGGGTAGCTGTAGTTTTTGACATCACTGGAAGCTGCTGAGGAAGTTCCAACAGTGCTCAAGTAAATGAAAGCAGAGGTGCCGCTTTGAGATGCTAATCCCTGCTGGAGCTCCAGTATCAGGCGGTCATACACTCACAGCTGGCTCCGTCCCCACCTGGTCCCAATCTTCTGTCACTTCTTCCGGGGGGTTGGCACTCCCCCCTGAAAAATGCAGCACAATGTAAACGCCTTGTTTGCCTCACAGTAAATATGCCCCTGACAGTGCCATGGGCTGTAAACTTCTTGACAATGTTACGCACAGTGAACACAGGAACATTAGGATCTCTGGAGATGGACTTGTAACCTTGAGATTGTCTATGCTTTTCCACAATTTTTGTTCTCACATCCTCAGACAATTATTTGCTGCTCTTTCTCTTCTCCATGCTCCATGTGGCACACAGAGACATACAACAGAAAGGTTGAGTCAATTTTTCACCATTTTAACTGATTGCTGGTGTGATTCCTATATTGTCAATTAATGGATACAGGTGAGTTTAATTACAAATTAGAGGAGTATCACAAACTTGGAATGCAATTATTTCTTACAATTTTGAGAAGGTGCCAAAAAAATTTTCCAGTCCATGTTTGGGGTTTTGCATGGAATGTGTCAGATATGGCCTTTTGTTTCTCCACATTTTTGTGTCATACCACCACAAATAAAAGAAAAACATGACAATGCCTACACATTTGTAATTGAAACAATTTTCTGGGTGACGTGGTGCATTATCTGACAGAAATGCAGGGGTGCCAATATTTTTCACCATGACTGTATGTGCATGTCCTTTGCTGTGATTCAACAATGGAATGTACATCTTTGTTGAATTAAGCTTGATGTTAGATTACATACTTGGTTATTGGTTATTTTTACCTGCTGGGAGATTGTATGTACTGTATATGCCGAATACAAACCATATGGTTAAAGCAGTTTGGCTATGTGGTGTGCTTACTCTATACATTAAATACATGTTACGGGAAGCCCAGCCCATCTTTTGAAATTGACAGAAAACAGCGAACAGATTCACTGCAGTCAAGGGTATTAGATGAAATGTAATAAAATAGGAATGGGTTGGGGAAAAAAAGCCAATAACAAAAGCTTAATTTCAAAACTGACATTCTGGTACAAATTGTGAACTAAGCATTTAAGGTAATTATTACTCTGTTAGTCACCTCTAGGCAAAAGGAGCATTATATTTTGCATATGCTAAACACTAACAGGGAAATGTGTTTGAGATAACTGTATTCAAGGCAAGCCATATTCTGTAAATCTAAAAAGTAATTTTTAACTCTATAAAAACATTTCTCATGCTCCCAGTAGGGAAACAGCATAATACTTTATAGAAAGATTCAAAGCTTGATATAACGGAGCAGCAATTTTAATTGTTAAAATGTATTACTGACTTGGTGGACACAAACATGTTTTTTGTATGTGGAAAACATTCTAAAATCACAATTAAAACAATTCACACTGGAAACAAAACAGGCACAACTGTGTTAAAGTGTAAGCTGCCAATTAGACTCAAGATTGTTTCACTAAAATAGTGGTTCAATTGCTCAAGTCTGTCTTCAGATAAAGGGGCAATAAAACTTCAACAGTACAGAAGACTGTAAGTGTAATTTTAAAATGAAATTTATACACGTTACATTCACATGGGTGAAAGTTATCAGATTTTAGGAGTAGGGGAAAAAACAAAAAACAAACAAGGCATGGCAGCACACATATGCAAATCTAACCGTTTATATTGTGACTTATCAAAAGTTACATTTTGGCACTATAAAATCACAAAGAAAAACTAGGTAACAGCACACCAGTAACCAATATTATATTCTGAATGAGCACAAGAGATTGTGTGAATCGTTATCAACTTGGCTGGAGTTAGCAATGTGCTTGTCTAACAAGTGACAGAGCTCAAATGCCCGTTAAAAGGTGAACAGCAGGTAAAAAGAGGAGGAGCAGCAAAGTAAAAGAGTAAGTGGTTGAGGAAAACATTGAAAGAAAATAACGAAAAATAGCTTTGGAGGGAAGGTAGGATATGAAAGAGGTGGGATTGATGATTTGGAAGTGCAATGTTTTCCACTTACTCTTCACCCCTTTTTTCCCCTTGCGCTCCTTTTTGTACTGTTCCTTGAGTTTGGTTATTACTCCCTGATCGACATTCCAGGATTCCGGTATGGGACACTGGTCTTCCTTTTCTAAACAGTGAAAGAAATCAAACACAATCCTCTTCAATACAATGGACTTCACCTGATCATATGCCTGAAGGAGAACCTGTCCTGACAACCTTCACGAAAGAAAAAGCAGCTGCAGATACCACGCAGACACTGAAGGACTAAAGCATTAAAGTTATACTGCTTATGTGACCATTTTGTCAACGGCAAGCAGAAAGGTACTCAGTGTATTAAACACATTTGTGCTCTAGGTCATGAATAACATATGAAAATACCAGTCCAAAAATTACCATTTGACTGGAAATAGGACCTATACATATAACAAAGTGATATTTTCGTTTGTTAAATATGCTCCAAAGCTATGCATATTGCCATGTAACATTTCAATAAACAAACTTTTCAAATATAAAAAATATCAAGGTCACTGAATAGCCACTTACAGGTGAATGAAATCAATATTTATGGCTTTAAGAAATCTGACTTTATGTAATAGATTTTACGCTCCGGTTCCTTGAACACAGCAGTATCTGCAGTTCTGTGCAGGAAGATGTGCCTGTTAATTGAATGCATGCTTGCATGTGTTTAGAGCGTAACATAGTCTTCATTGTAAATACAGGATGTGCAATATGCAGTGACCAGTGCAGTGGACAATGCATCCTACTAGAGAAAAATGCAGCTTATACACAGGTCAACATGGATGCTGTTCCAATGACAGCACTAACTGGGAAGATGCATCTTAGTGCAAATTGCCTATTTTTATTTGCTTTGATTGTTTAGCATAATAAATGCTGTTATGGTAAGGAGATCAAAAGTAAACACATAAAACTGCAGACCTTTAGAAAAAAAAAATCCCAGTTTTATATAAGGAATTACATTCCTTTAAGTACAAGTAGGTCACATTAAACAAACTCCACCCAAGAATACATTAGGTCACTAACAATGCAGCAAACTCAAGTATTTTCACATTACAACAATATCGTACTCTAGAGTTAAACTATTGCAAGCTCCAAAGGACGTCTTGGAAAATTACATATTTGCCAGCATAAAAATACAGTTTAAACTAAACTTCCACTAAAAACAAACAAAAAAGGGAATAATGCCCATTATTTTACTTGGAATAACTGCTGCACTCCACCTCTCTAAGGAGGAACAGTATGAAATGTACACTTTCTAGATTAAAAAAATCTTGTTGAAAGTGTAAATCCTTTTCAACATGTTTAGAACAAACAGTACTTTACATTTATGTTATTGGTTTGCACATTTTATTGTACAACTGGATAATCTAGCTATATCCTATTCATCAACAGTCCCCATCCCTTGCTAGCATCGTTTTCTAGGTGTTGGTCTTTCATTGGTTGGCATGGGATGACTCACTCCTGCTTATACACAGGAATCAGTCATCCTAGCACCCAGAGACCATGCTAGTGATGTAACCTGAGATGTGGCGAATGCTGCAAGCAGGCAGGTAGGTAGGTAGGTGTATCTTCTTGCACAAGAGACACTGCATGCCTCTTGTGCAATAAAGAACCTGCCTGCTTCTAGTTTGTGGCAGCAGAACATTCCCTTTAAAGTGTATTTATAGCCACGTGTTTTTTTCTATTTTTTGTTTTCAGGTGTGGATAGAGTGGGACAGGATTAGACCGCCTGTCAGGTTTTACTGCTACCTGAGGCTCTGTTAGAAAGATTTATTCTCAGTTTCTTTTTGAGAAGCTATCTGAAAGGCACTATATAAAATAAAGATGATCATTTTTATAAACTCTGCAAAAAATAAGGTTTTACCTATAGGCAAACTTTATTCTTAAAACATTTATACGAAAGTTGAAGGCATATAAAAAAATAAAATAAAAAAAAAAACCTTTGAGCAGGTAGGCTCTTTTTTTTGTAGTGGAGTCATGCAATGTCTCCTATGCTACAAAAAAATACACCCACCTACCTGTTTGCAGACTTCTGTGGCATGTAAACTGAGATGCACACGTGTCGCTTAGTTTACATGACCTGCACATTCATGGTGTGCCAGGATGATTGACTCTTGAGCAAGAGGTTATGTCATCCTGCGCTGGCCAAAGACAATTGTCAGGGACCCCTCGCAGACTTCAAACTGTTAGAGAGAAGTATAAATCGTTTAGTGCCACTTTAATGAAAGTTAAAGTGGGCCTAGAGTCTAAACTGACTATATGTCTGATTCTTTCACTTGCTGATCTTATTTTGAAATTAATAGTGCAATAAAATACTTATCTGGTTGCTGGAGAAGGTTTCTTCGGGCCTAACCATCCCAGCTTTTGGCAATAAGCAACTGTGAGTTCTGTATGAAGCAGAAACAACCAAATGGTCCTCTTCCTCACAGAGCAGGCCTTTCTACCTAATTTTGGCAGTCAGTGCCTTTGCCTCACACAGAGTCAGCCTTCGGCTAATTGTCGAAGAAGCCGTGCATGGTGAGAAATACGTATGTATTTAGTTTTTTTTATTAGTTATACCCCATTTCTTTACCAAAGCCTTAGAAACTTCACTCACCCAGCTTATACGCTACAGAATATTAGTGGTCATCATGATGTAAATAAATTTATGTTAGATACAATTCAGTAAAATTTATCTAAAAATTTATTTGGGAGTTTGAGTATGACCTAAAAGGAAAATACAAAATTTAGGAAGATGCTCCTAATACAGAAGAAATGGACTTGCCTTTGAACATGAGTCACTGGTGTAAGGATATACATTTAAAAAAAAAAATGAAAAGTGCCCATAACCTGATGTTTTCTATTTTCCTGAGTACTGCTGAAGACACCACAGATTATGTCTACACAGCCTTTTGCAAGTATAGTGATCATATTACAAATTCAGTAGCAGTCTGGCATATTGTAGTAGCCCAGGATTTGATATGGTCAACACCTAATTACAACCAGATTAGCAAACATTCCTAGCCATCAAGATGTAGGCTTGGGCAATCACATGCATGTTTGGAAAGAGGTTTTAGTATTTTCTTACATGTTACATCTCTCTCTGATGTGTGAGTGTTATTGGGAACCACTTTCAAATCGACATTAAGACTAGCTTGCTACTTTATTTAAGTGATAACAGTTTAAAAGGATATAGACACTTAACCTCTAAATTCATTATACAGGAACATATGAGCCAGTAAATCTCGCATTTACATAGAATAGTTGACACAGAGAAAAAGTAACAGACTTACCCCACTCAGTGCCATCACCCGCACTTCTTGATTCTCCTCCATCAGTATCATCTGACCCTAAAAAGTCAAACTCCTTCAAAGCCTCTTCTGTGTCTCTGTCTTCATTGGGATCAGGCATAACTCTTCTCCTTACAATCTAAAAAAAAAAAAAAAAAAATGCAACACAACCACTATATTAAACAGAATATAAATATGTATAAAATGATATGACAACTTGTATATGAAACATGCTTCTATTTATAGTTTGTAATTTTATATATCTAAAAAGAGCAGCACATTTTCCCACATATACATACTGTGCTTTATGCATAGCAGTGTATCATAATGATTGCACTTTACTGCTTCTTTATTTAATGTAAATCATTATGAAAGCTCAGACAGAAGGAAAATAAAAATCAGTGCAGCCCCAGCAACTGATTTTATCTCAAAACCTTTGCTGCCTTTTGAAAACTGGAGCTCTACAGACTATAAAAACCCCCCAATAAAGTTTGCTACCACTGCCTGCAAGCACCAGATAAAGCCTTCATTTCAAACAAAATTTTGCCAGGCTAATTCTCCTTACAGGTTTGTGTTAAAGAACATTGATATTTCATTTGTTCTCCCTCTTGTACTTTTAATGTCTGGTGATCCATATACTCAGGCAACAAATTGAGGTTTTCTGGGCTCCCATCGTATGTAAGGGTATTGAAAATCATATGTTGTATGTGCAATTGTGAGAACCTTAAAATTTAAACTGTCGATTTTCGGTCATTTTTTTTTTTCAAGTCTACAGCATGTCTGTCTGTATACACTGATCAGCCATAACATCATGACCACTGGCAGGTAAAGTAACGAACATTGTGTTTTAACAGTGGCATCTGAAAGTTGTTGGGATATGTTAACAGCAAGTGAACATGTTGTCAATGAGGTTGGTTCACAGGAACAGAGCTAAGGATGTCACTCTGCTGGAGGTTCCTCCCTTGTCCCCTTTTTTTTTTTTCTTGGTGTCAGGAAAACTTGTCAGAAGGGATTCATGCTGATAGAGGAATGAAGCAGCAGATAGAAATAACACGTAAATTGCTTTCAAATGAGACAACTGCACACTATAGGGGGATATGCTTTGTTCATATTTGAGATTTACAACCACTTTAAGTTGGCCATAAAAGGTTCAGTATCGGTCATTTCCCATCTACATATTGAATGGAGGAATCTTACCCACTGCACCATTGCATTCTGAAAGCTGGGAGAGTCCCCTGCTGTCTGAATACACAGTTTTTGCTGCAGCAGCTATCAAGCGGGCGGCTCAACAGAAGTCTACTGGTAGATTGACTTCTGCTGAACTGCAGTGACCATGTCAACTGAAATTTGTCCAGATCCTGCTGAAACAGCCAAATTTTGATCTATCTATAGCCACCTTAATTTTTGAACTCTACCTTACTCGCACTGAATTTCCAAAGCCGTGTTATTGCCCTGTCCATTTCTGTGGGCTACAAAACACTACCCCCATATGTAATGGAGATAAGGAGAGGGGAAGGTGTTCTGAAGTCCAAATAAGGAGCAAGCAGCCTAGGGTGACAATGCTGCTTCTCTATAGATATAGGGCAGTGAGTAAGCATTGTCATCTTAGTACAGGAAGTGTGTTACTTGCAAGTGGACCAAATGAAAAGGCCCCAATAAAAGAAAACTGCAGCAACCACCGTCTAATAACTGGAATGCTGCAAAGTAGAAACCTTTTTTCTTCCTGGCATAAGTAGTGATTTAATCTTAACTGGAGTGTGCCTTTCAGTTGACAGCGATATCTTCCAAAAACCAGCTTAAAAATACCAACAGCTTCTAGTGACAATTACATTTTCACTCATTGAATTTTCCACTTTTGGGAAACTGGGAAGGCAAGGGGAGGAGGGTAAGCAATGCACGCTAGAAAATGTAGTTAGAATACGATCATTGTTAAACATGTTACTTGTTTACAATGCTTTGCAGCTACAGAAAATACAAAATCTCGGTTTGGAATTTAAAATGAAAATGCTTGAAGTGAAGGTGGCTCACCGTTGCAGCATCAATCACAGTCTTGTCTCTGCCGTCATTGTCTTCATCATCCTCTTCATCACTAAACTCAGCTGCAGCATTTTCCAGGAATTTAAAGGTCTCAAGAACAGAAGCAGAGTCTGTCATATCCGGTTTCCTATTTTCAAATGAAAACAGCAAAAGTCTAATTCGTAATGTTTAAAATACCTTTCATCCTAGTCATTAAAAAAAAAAAAAAAAAAAAAAGATACTGAAATCATATTAAAAAAAAAAAAAAAAAAAAAAAAAAAAAAAAAACAGAAATTGACAAAAATGTTACAACTGTATTCCTAAACAAATCAAATCATTATTGAGTTTTTTAATACAAGTGTGCGTGGTATAGTGTAAAGTGAAAATAGCTAATCTTGACAATAATAGATGCAGGAGGTAGGGAACACAAGGCATTATGCTTAGGGAAGGGTTGATTTAAATGTAAATTTATGAAGGACGGCATTCTACCACATTAAAACGTCTTGTGATTTTTATGTGACTGTGAAAAGTAGATGCCAATCAAATGAAACTTTAATTATGGTTTGTCAAGTCTTCTTCAGTCTCCTACCTAGCTAGGCTCGATTCCCACCTTCAGTTCAGCAACTGCAATCGCTTAAAAGGATTAAAAAGGAAAATAAATCCAAGGATCCCAGACTAGAAAATGTATTGACAATATTAGCAGCATACTGAGGTAGAATAAGAGGTGCCTAGTTAGGAAAGCCTAAAAACTGCACACTGCAAGTGCAGAAACAATTTCATTTATCTTTGATGCCACTCACCCAATGGTATTTTTGTTACTCCTATATGCTATATATGCCCATATGCTAGAAAACAGATGCACAACTGTGCAAAAATGGCTGGTAATGTGAGACAACCTGGACAACAGTACCAAACAGATTAATTTGCTGCAATCTTAAATATTAGCACCGTTTAAATTCAATTAACCTAATCCACAAAAGCTATAATCTACTGCAATTTGTACAAGGAAGAGAGCTTTCTGAGCAAATGGGAGCAGAAACATGGATCCTAAACAAGTCTGTCAGTCAAACAGGCCAATAAAGATGTGCTCTACAATTAACAGGTTCATTCAACAACCATTTCATGACCAGCATTTTGTAGCTTAGTTCCCAGACCACATTTAACAGTATTGGTATGCATCAGTTTAGTTCACAATAACTTATGTTTGCATTTGAAAGTATAAAATTGGTTTTGCAGTCAAAAAGAGGTTACACATACAAAATATTAGCAGGCTGATGCGCAAATAATCAAAACACTATATACCTGGTAAATTACAATACACCAAAGCCATATGAAGTACTATTTTTGATTAAATAAAATCCAAAGTTAAACAATAATAAAGCAACTATTAAAGAATGACAAAGCTGTGTTTTTTTCGGGTTTTTTTTTACAGCGTGGGAAAGGATCAGAACTCCTGTCATATTTACAGTGATCAGAGGAGGAGAGACCCCTTCACTTCTAGTCTAGAAAAAGGTTGTTCCCAGAACAAAAAGTGAGGTATATCTCTCCAACAGCAACACAGAAGTATTTAAGATAAATGGAGAAATGCTAGAACTTTTTATTGTCCGTTTCCCTCTTGTAGATTTTCCCACATTTTGTGTCTGGTAAATCACTGTCCCTAAAACAGAAAGTGAGGGAAAGCTTTCTCTCAGCACTGGTTCACACATGTGCGGGTTTTAATGTGCTTTGAACTAGACAAATCACAACCTGAGTTTTGAAGAAAAGGTCATAAGCAAGCTTGGATAAGTGTGATGTGTTTTTGCCATTATATAGCAACTTTATGGAAAGCGCATGGAAAAGCAGCTGTGTCATAATCGCAGAAAAAAAAAAAAAAAACGTATCGGTATTCAAACAAAAACCCTGCTGATTCCCAATGCTGAATCACACCAAAAATTTAGCTAATTTGAACCGGATATGTGTAAGCCTAGAGCAATGGGAGATACTTGGTAGTTATAAACTTTCCTCATATCAAAAACTAAAATTCGGGTATAGATACATTTGAATACTTGCATTTCATAGTCATACAAGTGGCACATTTGTAAAGCAATACTCATGACATTCAGTAAATATTCACTGCAGGTGATTCTTCCTTGTGCATGGATTTTAAATGACAAAAAGTACCTGTGAATGTTGCATTCACTGCTTTAATAAATATGGATTTTGTCCAGTCCTTTCTGGTAAACACTCTGCCACCTTTACTACAAAATAAGTCAGCTGGAAAAAGGCTTAGTATTTTAGTCTAGCTTGCACCCTTATGAATATTGTACAGCACTGACAGATGTATTTCCAAATAAATGAACATAAATTTTAAATGCGAGTCAGGGACCCTTAGATTGTAAGCTCCTTGTGGGCATGGACTGATGTGAATCTACAATATATGTAAAGTGCTGCGTAAATAGATGACGCTATATAAATACCTGTAATAAATATTTTTTTTCCCCTAGAATAATCTCAGGACAACGGAGAATCATGTGAAAAAAAAATTAACTGAATTTATATCACTGCATATAGTAAAACAAAAAATTAGCACAAAAATTACTTAGGATTTCTATTTTCTGTTAATGTTTGCCACATATTTCTCTCGCTAACTTGCTGGTGTATCTAGTTCTAGAAAAATAAAACATGGTATAATGAAAATAAGTATAAACTTACCCAATGATGAGAGGATTGGGAAGCTCGGTCTCTGTGCCATTTACCATTGAGTCTTGATTTGTATCTGTAAGTCTGTCTGAAGAATCAGCAGAAAGTCCTAACAAAGCACGAACCCGCTTTGACTTCACCTCCAAAATGGTGTCTGTGTAGCCGACCTCTTGCAAATACCTACAGAGAAGCAAGCTTTTTACAATCATCTATATTGATTTCTATTGTGAAAGATCACAATCATGTGCCAAACCATTCATCAGCACTTTAAATGTACATAACGATGAGACATAGTGCAGCACTGTACTGGGCACTTAGGCTAATAAACCATCTGCTACCAGTTACAACGGTTGTCTGTACCAGCCTCTACAGTCACTAGACAAAGGAAAGTAGTGACTGGTACAATTCTCTATTCACTGGACGCTGGGCAAAGGGGAAGGAAAAAACAATGACAGGAATACACTTGGACTTCTCCAAAAATGATGGTGGCAAAGATTCCATGAACAACAAAAAATACAAATCACAAATTAACTTTTTCAGATCAGTCAGATCAGTAGGGTATGGAAACTACTTACTGCCTTAGTAACTGTCGACTCTGTTTCCATATAAACTGGCTGTTCTGTGGTGGTGGTTGAATATCTGCCTCATTTGTTTCATCTAACGGGAAAAGAACATGAAATATGAATGTCTGATTGCAAAGTATTAAGGCTTGTCAACAACTAGATTTTGTTTCCTATCTGATCAGTCAAGAACATAAGAGCATAGATTAATAAGAATCTATATGAGAACTTTTTAAAATAAAAAGCAAGTAGGCCCTAATAAACTCAGGCTACTAGGTGATAAAAAAATTCCTCATTTCTGAAAGATGAACTGGATAACCCACAGACACAAAGTTCTACCTTTCATGTAGGATGCAAAGAGCAGAAAATCATGGCTGCTGGCTGTGTACATAATTTCATAAACTCACAGATGAGGGTGACCAACATTTAAATATAAACTGAGGATAGGGGGAGAGATGACAGGGGGGAATCACAGGGAAAAGGAGCACATAGTACTGTGAGGACAGATCTGTGGATCTTTGATCCTCTTGCCCAAAAGTGCTCCTATGATGGGACCATAAAAATCTGTGTCAATGGGCTTTGGGCTTGTGTTGAAGGGCTCAATGCAGTCCTAAAGCAAGAACAAGGTAGTCTGCTTTTTGTCCTATGGCTTCATGTGTGCTGGGAAAAAAAAAAAAAACAATAAAAAGTAGAAAATGCTGCATTTTTGCACAGTGCATTCTTGTTATATGCACTGCTGCACATAATTACATACAGGTGTGAAGGGAACATAAAAAAAAAAAAGTAAGCACCACAATGCGTTTTAATACCGCATTGCTATCTAGCAATGCGGTATTAAAACGCATTGTGGTGCTTTTTTTTTTTTATGTTCCCTTCACACCTGTATGTAATTATGTTTGAGTTTGAGTATGTAATTGTGTATGAGTTTATGTGAAATCTCCATTAATGGATGTAAATATTATAATTACAAGTATATTTTAGTTAGATGAAAATATACAGTATTTAAACCATTAATTGTTTTGCAGCATCAAACTTTCTAGCTTCCATACTGATGTAAATATATAGAGTTTTCCACTATACAAGTTCTGACCTTTTGTTGTCCCCTTAGCATATCTCACATGAGTGGTAAACAGCAGCCTTCTTTGAACTTCCAATCAGGCTGTGCCCAATATACATTGGCTAGGTACAGTGTCCAATTAGTGAGCATTATATTAGCCACAGTACAGAAAGGAGGGGGGATATAAGGCCTGGTCACCCAGCTCTTTTTGATGAGACACACACACAGCAGGCGGTATGACTAAACCTGAGGTTGAGAGGTAAACTAACATCATACTTGTATTGTACATTGTATTTGAAACATGGTTTTGTGGGTAAATTGTAAATATCATATAAGTCAAGAGACTTAAACTGTACATTGTGTTGTAAATACTGCTAAGCGTGTAATTTGTGTATATTATGTACCTCTCAATAAATGTATATTGCAGATGGAAGTACCTCTTGTGTAGGAACTCTTGGATCTAGCTGGATATATGTAAATACTCTTACAAGGATTGGGGTGTATTCACAAACACACGTAACCTAGTCAACAAGTACATGGGAACACATTCACCATGCACATTAGCGCGGAAAGGTTATGTGCACCTGCTGGTATGAATGAGCCCTAACAAATCGCTGCCCCCCCAACACTATAGTCCACATATCCACATGATCAGTTCAGTTGTTGACACTCTCTACAACCACTGTCCAATTCCACCTGTTGTGAAGCTGACTGGGTAACAAAATGGCAGTTGGTGGTCTCCAAGATTACTGGGTGACTTTAAAAAGGTGCCTGCACTGCTTTGATGCAACTTAGGGCCAGAGTGTAAAGTCGGATCGAAGTCGTACTGTAAATTGTGCCACTTTGGAGTAGCACAAGTGTGACTGAAGACTGTTTATGTAGCTATAGGAGCTCAGGCCTTAGGCTTGCCATACACTGGTAAATTTTAAACAAACGTTTGTGTGTAAATTTCTTAGAACATTTGTACCCAAATCCGTACAAAAGTTCTTAGTACATCTGATGAAAAGATGGAACGTCCTTCAAAAGGATTTCAAAATATTTTTTTCTTTAGCATTTATTTTGGAATAAATGGACTTTCCTGAATGAAAATCACATACACTTAGAAATGGGTCCATTTTTCCAGGTTTTCCCATCCTGCTCCTTCAAATTTTCTACTACGGTTGACAATGAACATTGAAAACGTTTGTCCTAAGAATGTTTGCTCAAATCTAATCAAATTCTACCGTTAGTTTTAAAGTCTCACTATAAATAGTTTTTACCTCTATTTTCTAAAGCAGGGTTTCAGAATATAAATTTAAACAAATGCAAATTGTATTTTCCTTCACTCAAACCAGCCTGCATTCTTATTTTTAGCAAACCATAATGTCTATTATAAAGTGGAGGTATGATATGATTTAGTTGCTGATGATGAAGCTCAATCTATTCCTGCTGCAACAAGGAAACCTTTTCTCACCAGCTGAAACGCTTATCCAAAAAGGAGCTTAGTGAGCACAGACACAGCAAATGTGTATTTAAATCAGTAAAGAAAACAGTGCATGAATATACACAATACAAAAAGTTCTCTCTCAGCCTCTGTGCAGGTGATATCACTGCTACACACGTGCACCGCATATACAAAATCACTGAACAACTCAAAACTTGATCTATGTGTTGCTCCGTATTCTTACAAAAGTTGTAAGAGTAAAATTTAAAGCGGAACTCCATCTTTTGGTACACTTTATATTGTTTATTTGGGCCAAGCTGGCCCAAACATACAGGCATACCTCAGTTTACAAATTTAATTCGTTCTGCGGGACTTTTCGTATAGCAAAAAATTGCATTGAAAACCAATGAATCTGTTATTGAGGTCAGAAAAAAGTAAACACTACTAAAATACTGCACAAGTTATTTTATCAAGTCATGTGGCATTTTAGTAGTGACAACCATGTGTAATGTTTCAGCTGTCAGCGGGGTTCCCCACTGACAGCTGAATGTAAAAGAATTGCTGGAAATTAAAAAAAAAAAAATCAATCAGCATGGGGTCCCCCCTCCCATCCATATCAAGCCCTTGGAGTCCGGTATGGATTTTGTGGGGAACTCCCACACCAAAATTAAAAAAAAAAAAAAAAAAACCCTCGAGGTGTGGGCCCCCCCCCCCCCCCAAAATCCATACCAGATTATCCGAGCATGCAGCCCAGCACTCAGGAAGGTTACCAAACCACATGCCCTCAACATGGGGGAGTGCTTTGGGGCAGGGCCCCCCCCATAGCACCTTGTCCCCATGTTGATGGGGACAAGGGCCTCTTACCCCACAACCCTGGGCCGGTGGTTGTGGGGGTCTGCGGGTACTTCCAGGGCTTATCGGAATCTGGAATTGCCGCCTTTAACAAGGGATGGGTATGGGATAAATGGTCCTGATACTCAATCACAAAAAAATAGTGTAGTGTGAAAAAAAAAAAACAGGCCATGGTCTTTGACAAGTCCTTTATTAAAAAGAAAAAAAACTAAAAGAATGTCCCCCGCAGTAGAGCCAACGTCAATCACGAACCCGCCGCCGTCGACCCAAAAAGAAAAAAAAAAGGCTTTCCGCCATCTGTCTGCTCTGGTGGTTTGACAGTTGTTACATATGTAAGGGGGGCCACTCTGGGGACATCACCCCTGTGACCCCACCCTATATCACTGAATCACCCCCACAACCACTGGCCAGAGTTGTGGGGAAGAGGCCCTTGTCCTCAACAACATGGGGAAGGGTGCCCCCCCCCATGTTGAGAGCATGTGGCCTGGTATGGTGGGCTCATTCCCCCCACCCTTTTCCTGACCTGCCGGGATGCATGTTCGGATATCTGGTATGGATTTTGGGGGGACCCCCAAGCCATTTTTGTTTTACATTTTGGCTTGGGACCCCCATGCTGTTTTTTTTATTTATTATGGTGCCCGGTTTTTAAATGTAATTATCGCTTTTTTTTTTTTTCTTCATTACAGCTGAGGGAACTTTCCCCCACTAAAAGAGTTTCCTTTCAGTTTATTTCACCAAGTTAAAAGAAAACAATGTTTCCTTTCAGTTTCTTAAAAGAATTAAAAAACTCCGGGGAAAGTGACAGCCAATTCTGTGAGCTATACTGAAAAAAAAAAAAAAAAAAGCCGGAAATTGCATTTAAAAATTGGCACTGACATACACTTCGTATTGTGAAAAAAAAATTTGTAAAAAAATTAGTCAAAACCGAGGCATTATTTTCAATGGATTTTCATTTGTAAACCGAAAATTACGTTAACCGAGGCGTTTGTAAAACCGAGGTACACCTGCATGTCCCTCACTAACCCCGATCTGTTTGTTGCTCTGTATTCTCAAACTGAAAGATTAAAGCGGATCTCTGGGTTAAGCAAATACTTTCTAAAAACAAGAGTCATGGGTATTCTTACTGGAATCTTGGTGTGTTCTGTGTATTCCTTCCAGATTTGTGCAATAATCCACTGTGAAACTTTACCTCTGTTCTGGGAGCTTCCTGTAATAAAGGCCAATCCCTGCTCTACTCTCTCCTTGTGCAGGTTGACTGATCTTGTATCCAACCCCCTCCTGTAGTTTTCTGCAGGAAGCCTGTACTGGGTGGAGCCTTCTGGGTCCCTCCCACAACTCTGCTCTCTTCACAGACTAAGTAATACACAGTGATGAGGTCACTACTACTTTTACAAGGTCATATCTTGCAAAAGAAATTGGTTAACACAAAGTGAAACCATACCTTTTGTGGCTATTGAGGAACACATTTTCAATATTTTTTTTTTTTTGTGCCAGGATTACAGTTTTAACCATTGCTCTCTATCAGAAAGAAAAAAATGGCTTGGCTTTGGATATACTAAAGTATATCACTCACACGGTTCTTCAGTTCTGTGCAGTGTTAAGAGCAGTTTGTTTACATTTTCTACTAGAGCCTAGTTGTGTGCAGGCAGCCCATATATAGCCAATGGATACCCACCAACTGTATGGACACACCCATATTGGCTCTGTATCCAGGTGAGTGCTCCGCTCTCTGCGCACCTGTCAAACTCTGCTGTCCAGGTGAGTCCCTACAGCCAAGCTGTATCCATTTACTTTACATGGCCTGCCTGTCAGCTCTAGTAGAAAGAGTAAACAAAAGGGCTCTTCGCACTATATGAGGATGGGTGTTCATGTGGATAAGCCCTTAAACTATAACTAAAGGCACTTTTTTTTTTAGATTTAGATAAAAATGGAGTGGGGACAGAAACTGTCAGGTTTTTTTTATTGCTGTCTGTCTGGGATAATGGTGAACAGACAGATGGAGAGGTTGAATTTCCCCAGAGTATAAATGCAAAAACCTGAATTGTCACCAGGACAGACTATAGAGGGGAAATCTTCGAATGGAGACACACGTTCCTATCACAACCATGTAAATCATCTTTTTTTTTTGGGACAGAGTAGGGAAGGGTTAAAAAATGTTTTCTTTCTACATACTTACCTGTATAATCCATTTCTTGGAGTACATCACGTGGCACAGAGCAGGCTATTCATGACTATGTGGGTTATATGCCACCCACAGGTGAATGGACACTGGCGACCAATCCAAGATAGGACCTCCCCGTATATAACCCTCCTACACAGGAAGTACTTCAGATTTTTTGCAGCAAGCAATGAAATTGCAGAGAGGAGAGAGGGACCTTTGTGTCCCGCGATGTACTTCAAGAAATGGAGTTTACAGGTAAGTATATAGAAAAAAATCAAATTTTTTTTTTTATCGTACATCACGGGACACAGAGCAGGCTATTCATGACTATGTGGGATGTCCCAAAGCAATAAAGAGATTTTGAGGGGAAGGTGAAACGATGCTACTGCCAACAATCCCACAAGACCTACGCAGATATTCACAAGATGCTGTGGCCAAAGGCAGAGTCCTCTGGGCTCTGACATGCACCTGGTAGAATCTTGTGACTATGTGAACCGAAGCCCATGTAGCGGCCTTCCACACCTGACCAATGGGTGCCTGATGGATCGCCCAAGATGCCCCCACACTCCTGGTAGAGTGTGCTCTCATCCAAAAAGGGTGGGACCTTATCCTTCAAACCATAGGCTTGAATGATTAACTGCTGGATCCAACGAGAAATAGTTGACCTGGAAGCCGCTTTCCCTTTCTGGGCCCTTCTGGCAGCACAAACAAGGAATCCTGATAATCCGAAGTACATTCAGAGTATACAGTGATCTTTCCCCTGCCGACTGTGGACTAGAAAATAAAGGCAACACACTGTCCTGATTTAAGTGAAAACTAAAACTCTCTAGGCAAGATGATGGATGACGACACATCACCTCATCATTTTGCAAAAGGGCACTATGCTGGTCTGCACCCGCCCTTCACAGCTTAAGTTTTAAGTTATTACTAAAACTGGTAATAAACGAATGCAGAGACAATTATTTAATATAAAAAGAGTTGATGCATTTAGTCTTACAGATGCAGCTGGCCCTTTGAAGGCAACCATAATGCTGATGCGTCCGGGATAAAATTGTTTTGACACCCCTGCTTTAGAACCACTTTAACAAAGGATGTTGAATGCTATACTAACTGTTGAAATCATTATTATACAGTTGATGGGTTGGAATGGAGGTGTAAATTTTTGGATGTTCCATGGAAGATGGACCCTGGACCAATGTAAGTATGCATGTGCCAGAAATGGTTGATCTCTGTGGAACCTAAAAATCACTGGATTCACTGCCCTGCTGCATTGTGAAGAGAGGTTGCTTGCTCGGCACAGATACCATTCAGAGAACACTTTGCATTTTCTCAATTAATGCAAAGAGTTCTCTGACAGGATGAGGTGAAGACAGTGAAGGTATTGCCCCCACCTCATCCAATAAAAGAATGCATTGCATTCACTGAAAAAAAAAAGTGCTCTCTGATTGACAGCCTCCTATGACCAGTCGCTCTGCATGGGATCTGAGGCTAGCAACGATGACTGTAGTATCGATGTCTGTTAAACTGACTTATAGCCTCTACAAGGACTGGTCAGGTATGGCACATGCATACTTACATTGGTTCAAGCCAGACCAATATATCTATGCAAAAATATCCATACCTAAATTTCAGCCTTATTCATATCTATCAAAATACCATTTAAGCAAAAATCTACTTGAAGATTGTCACTTGGGGTATGCTAAAAATTCTATATAGTACTCCATTCTTTATGTTGTCCTGCTTGGCAATGATGTGGTACTTCACAAAACAGGGCAAGATTTGTTTGTAATCCATGTTCATATTCTAATCAATGCTAAAATGTGAAGTAGCCCAATCTGTACTAGACAGGTGCCTGAAAACGGTCAGCGACCTGCTTGATTTATTTCTTTCACCATATTTTAAACTACTGATAAAGCAAAATAACAAATACAGTCTGTGTAATCCCTCAAACATTTTCTAGAATTCTTAATTAGCTGAAGAAACACAAGTACACACTTGTAAAATTAAAACCTTTACAAGTAGTTAATTTTCTTTTAAGTGTCCTACAAAACACAGCTGCTTGAACCACCTGCCAGCCTTTACTCACTGAACATTACAGACAATAAGGTAACTTACCAGAATCATAATTTGGAGGCTTCATATCTCCCTGATTTAATTCTGTTCCATACTTCAGCTTGTGATATTTTGCCCTTTAGTTGAAAAGCAAAGAGAAGAGATCAGCTTTTAGAACTCATAACTTCATTTTAATTTGAAAAATATTATCAGGAAAGGATTCCATTACCCCCCAAAAATATTGGTGATATGCTACTGCTTTTGTAAATTTAGAGGTTATTTCCCCAATATCCTTTGCATTTAGGCTGCATTCACAGCAGGGAATTTGAACTTAAAACTACAAAAACGCCCAAACCCCCTAGAAAATCAATTGATTACTATGATGCCTGTTCACACCCGAGTGCTTATATGCCTGTTGCTCAAAAAAGCACAGGAAGTTTTTTTCAGGCTTATTGAGCAGACTATCAGGCCTCGAAATTCTAAGTTTTAGTTTTGTTAGCAATTTACCGCCTAGAAACAGAATAATTTTCGTCATTGGCCTACCTAAATTTAACCAAATACACGAACCACAGAGACAGAAAACATTTCATCAACTCAGTTGTTGCCCCCACATTTCTCATTTCAAGGGAGACATGAAGTCATGTGCACATCATATTCAGAAGTGCTGGGTATTTTTCCCCACTTCCAGGCAGTTGAACAGAAAGGCAGGAAGAGAGTGTGTGCAACCTGTTTCATTTGCATGGGCAAAGCACAGGTGCAGCTGAAGCCGATAATGCTAGATTGCTTTTGTTAGAACTTTGCAGGAGATTGTGCAGGGAAAAAATTGTGATTTTAAAATTGGATTTTTTTTTCTACACACTTGCCTGTAAAATCCATTTCTTGGAGTACATCACAGGACAAAGCAGGCTATTCATGACTATGTGGGTTATATGCCACCTACAGGTGAATGGGCACTGGCCGACCAATCAGAGGAGTCCTCCCCTATACAACCCCTCCTACAAAGAAAGTAACTCAGTTTTATAACAAGCAATGAAATTCCAGAAAGAGGGGAGGGACCTCTGTGTCCCGTTATGTACTCCAAGAAATGGAGTTTACAGGCAAGTATGTAGAAAAAAAAATCCAATTTTCTTTATTGTACATCAAGGGACACAGAGCAAGCTGTCTCATGACTGTGGGCACAAAAGCAATAAAGAAAATTTTGAGAGAAGGGTGACACCACTGTAGCCACCGCCAACAATCCCACAAGGCGCTGTGACCAAAGGCAGATTCCTCTGTGACTCTTAACATCCACTTGGTTGAACCTTGTGAACCGAAGCCCATGTAGCGGCCTTGCAAATCTGAGCAACTGACGCCTGATGGTGGATTGCCCAAGATGTCCCCATACTCCTGGTAGAGTGTGCTCTTACCCGAAAGGGTGGGACCTTCCCTTTCAAATCATAGGCTTGAATGATCAACTAGAGGATGCAATGCAAAATAGCCTGCCCCTTCCTGGGGCCATCAGGCAGCACAAAAAGAGCATCCGACTTCCCGACCTGCACTGCCATCTTTAGGAAGACCCTTATAGAGCATACCACATCCAAGGTATGCTAGGATCTCTCCCTTGTCGACTATGGCCTAGAAAAAATTAATGAAAATTAGACACTACCTTTGGTAAAAAAAAGTGAGGTCGCAATACCACCCTATCCTGATGTAAAATCAGAAAAGGTTCTTTACAAGAAAGAGCTGCTAGCTCCGACACTCTTCTTGCAGAAGTGATTGCCACTAGGAACAACACCTTTCCAGGTCAACAGGACTAACGAAATCTCTCTAATGGGATCAAACAGTGGTCTCTGCAAAACTTCCAAGACCAAGTTCAAGTAACACACGGACATAAAGGTAGCCTAACAGGCGGAGATAAACGCATTACTCCTTGCAAAAAAGTACAAACTAGAGAGTAAGATGCAATAGGCCTCTGGGGACAAAAATAGCCAACGCTGAAACCTGGCCTTTAATAGTACCAAAGGCCAACTTCTTCTCCAGATCCGATTGAACAAACTGGATCCTACCAATCACATATTTACGTGGATGCCATTTCCAGACCTCACACCAGGCAATGTAAGCTTTTCAAGTCCAGTAATTGTTTCTAGAAACTATCTTTCTAGCGCTAAACAAAATGGGAATGACAGAATCAGATACCCCCTATCCTTTAGAATCTGGGTTTCAATGGTCATGCCGTCACATTTAGCAATCGTAAAGCTGGGTGCAATATAGGATCTTGAGACAGCAGGTCTGGCCTGGACGGCAGGGACCAAGGCCCGTCCACTGCCAGTCTATGTCTGCGTACCAAGCCCTCCTGGACCAGGCAGGGGCAATCAGAATCATCACAACAGACTCCCCCCGAATCCTGCGCAGGAGACGTGGCAACAGCTGAACCGGGGAAAAGCATAGATTAGCGAAAAATGCCTCCAAAGAATTACTAAAGCATCCACCGCTGCTGCACATGGATCCCTCACTCTGAACACAAATAGGTCGACCTTGTTGTTGAACCGAAGTGCCAGGACATTGATGGGTACAACCCTTTCTCTTGGAAGCCATGTTCCCTGAACAGTGGCCTCCTCCAGGACCACCCCCAATCCTGAGAGGCTGGCATATTCCAGGCTTTGTACTGGCTACAGGGCCGACTTTTCGAAGTTGAGCACCCAGCCCAGTTGTACCAGGACCTGAACCTTAAGGGCCCCAACCTGCTCCATATTTGGCACTGCCCGACCTCTGAGCAACAGATTATCTAGATAACCTATGACTGATACCCCTCGAGTTCTGAGCAGCCCCAATACCGGAGCCTGAACCTTAGTAAACACTCGAGAATCCATAGCTAAGCCAAAGGCAGATCTATGAATTGGAAGTGCCAAACTCTTACTGCAAAGCACTGACAGTTTTGGTGAGAAATGAATATTGGCACATGCAGGAATGCATCCTTGATACCTATGGACGCTAAAAAAATCTCCTTCCTGCAACAAGGCCGTTACTGACTGGACAGATTCCATATGAAAAGATCGAACATATAGAAACCAATTTAGAGCCTTGAGGTCCAAAATGGGCCTTACATTCCCATTTGGCTTTGGGACTATGAACAGGTTTGATAAAACCCTTGAAACTTCTTGTCCAGTGGAACTTTCGTGATCATCCCGAGACAACCCTCTTCTTTTTTCTGGATTCTTAGTACATTTGACTGTAGGAACTGGGGAGGTGGGAAGACCCGAAACTCTAATTTGTACCCTAGAGAAATTGTAGAAATGACCCACCTGTCCTGGATTAAAGTCTTCCAGGCAGTTGCAAAATTCAAAAGCCTTCCCCACACCCAAAAAAGTGGGGGTTTCCTATTCCTAGAGGATGGCGCCTGCGCACGATGAAGCGACTGTCTAGCAGATGAAGGACCAGTCACTGAAGCCCCTGATCCCTTAAAATAAGTGCGCTTGGATTTCCTTTTAAGAGGCAACAGAGAACTCTTTCATCCTAAAAATCTTTTTAATATATTTATCCAAATTCTCCCCAAACAGTCACTCCCCATGAAAGGGAAAAAACCAGCCGAAAAGTTCTTGCATGGCAGTTCCGCCAACCAATTCTTCAGCCACAAAACCCTGTGCATGTGACCTGATAAGAAGGTCATGCATTACATTTGCTGTATTGAATCCTTAAGAGTACGGCTGGCTGCGTTGCTGACCTGATCCTGCCATAGAGAAGGAGGCCTTAAGTAGAGATTCCAGTGTCTTATCTACTGGATCCTTGAAAACTTGGATGTTATCCACAGAAAGTGTATGACCTATTCAGGGATAACCACTTGCCCTCCTGAGGATTTACCCCCCCCCCCCCCCCCCCCCCCCACACACACACACACACTTCCTGACCAGGTCCTTTTTTTCCCTCCACAAATTGAGCTTTTTTTCTGTGGTATTTGAAAAACAATTTTTTTTTTTTTAAACTTTTTGCTATTAAACATGTCCAGTAAAATTAAAAAACAAAATCAAATTGTGATAAATTTTAGGCCAAAATGTATTCTGCTACACATCTTTACTTACAAAAAGTCCCAATATGTGTAATTTAAATGGTTTACGTGAACGTTTTAGCGTTTACAAAACGCGGTATAGATACTGGAATTTTTTTTTTTTTTTCATTTTTACAAGTAATGGAGGCAGTCAGTGACTTATAGCTGGACTGCGGCGGGCATTCTGACACTGGGGGGAACTGACTTGGTGTCATTGACATCCCCAGTGACACTAATACAGTGACTACTGCTAACAAAAAGCAGTGACACTGTACTAATGGCACTGGGCAGGAAGGGGTTAACTGTGTGCTGGGAGTGTTTTACTAGAGGGGCTGTGTCCGTGTTCTTCACTGTTCCCGAGCCGACAGGGAGGAGAACTGTTCGTAAACAAAACAGTTCTCCTCCCCATCAGAGATCGTTGGAAATCACCGGGCACCGGTGAGTAATCACTGGGCCGGACCCGGTGATTGACAATCGCCGGCCATGAATGGCGGCGCGGGCCCCCTACCCGGAAATGCAAAATCACATATATATGCGTGATTTTGCGCACCCATGCCGCCCTGTAGCAGTATTTCTGCTATAGGGCGGACAGGAAGCAGTTAACTACAGGCATGCCCCATTTCTTAACAAACATCTCTTCTATAGGATACAGGAGAGAAAATCTTTTTGGCAGGACAAAAATTTTATCTGGGTGATCCCAATCAGCATACATAACTTGTTCCAAGAGAGGATCCACCAGAAACACCTGAATACTCTGAGGCCTTAAAGAACCCAGGGAAGAGTACCTAACCTCAGAGGACTCAATGTGGGGTAACCTGAATCCTGAACAGACCATATCAGTAAGGTCCTGAATTAATAATCTTTGAGATTAAGAAGCCAAACTGTCTGCTTCTCCTCAGACTGAGACCCTTCAGATAGATAAAACAGATTATTGCCTGACCTTCTTCCAGGTCCTCTAATGCCCCCTCAACCTCTGGTCCCATCCACTCCTGTTCAAGGACCGGTAGATCTGGTAAATGGGATCTCTCCTGCCTCTTATTCACCTGAGAAAAATAATCATTCCTATGATCTTATCCTCTAAATCTGCTAAGGCTGAAGCAAGATCCTCTTTGGTTACATACACTGAAGCGGACGCCCCAGTAGAAGCCACAATGCCAGAGTAAACATAGTGGCACAGACAGCCCAGAGGCTCCTGGCCTTCCAGGAGAGGATAACACAGCGAAACTTCGACTAGGTTCTTCTAGACTTGACGATGGTGCATATGTGCCCTTTCCCGCTGTGCATCTCCCACCCCGCTTTCTGGAAGACATCCCGTCCTGCAGCGCTCAATCTGAATTAAATACAGACAGAAACAAAATACATTTCAGGATACAGCTACGCCAGGTAGTGTGACCAAAAACACTCACTGTAACCGCCGATTTCCATGGATTGTCAGAAAAGTACAGCTCCTGTCTGAACTGTCCGATGTTTGAAACCCCCAGGGGAGTACTTACGTGCCCATTGAATAGCCTGCTCTGTGTCCTAGCCACCGCCAGCTGCAGAACCCCCACATGTGCCCGAATACATAAATAATAATGTCCAACTTCCTTTTCCAGCCATACTGGGCATGCCTCGCGGCCGCAGCCGGCTGTCTCACCATTAGGCTGCTCCCCCCTGAGGCAGAAAAAATAAGACCAGGCAGGCTTTAAAGACAATGAAGCACTCCCCCCAGTGGCAACCTTCACCAACAAGTGAAAAACCTTACCTTTGTTTTCCCTCCATTTTCCTTCTTTAAAAAAAAAAAGAGAAAAAAAAAGAAAGCAACTTACCATTCCCGCTCCAGGACTTCGCATCACACCAAAAGTCCAACCTTTACCCATCACGTAGAACTTCACGGACTCTGTTCCCATACTGTGAGACCACTACCTCTGACTTGTACAGCACTCTGCTGGAAAACGCCTTCGTCAGATTCAATACTGCACAGGGTTCCATTTACGCAGGGTTCAGCGCCATACAGCTGCATTACAGGCAAAACGCTGAGGATTCTTCTTATGCTCGGGTACCATCCATTTTGACCAACAGCTTTCTGAAAGGATCCGATTAAAATCCATGGTTCTCAAAGGCACAGTCTTAGACTATATGTACTATATGGGCAGGAGCACAAGCAACAACTTCAGTGACCATCCACCTTACAGATGCTGACAGAAAAACTGAGGTACTTCCTGTGTAGGAGGGGTATATAGGGGAGGACTCCTCTCTGATTGGTTGGCCAGTGTCCTTTCTTCTATAGGTGGCATATAACCCACATAGTCCTGAATAGCCTGCTCTGTGTCCCGTGATGTACGATAAACAGAGAAAAAATTATTTATAAAAGGAGATTGGCCTTCAGAGGTAAAGCCTAATTTAAAGCAATAGGGATGGCAACTGGTGGCAATCAATAAAAGGCCCCAGGGCAAGGTCACCATCGCTGCACGGGGTGCCCCTCCGGAGGGAAGAGAACCGGAAAAGAAGGAAAAGGAGAAGTAGAAAGAAAGCAATCAGGAAAGTAAAGAAAAAAAAAATGACTTCTCTGACACAATAGCACTGCAGGTAGCAATCACAGGGGGCCTGAGCAGACTAGGTGAAGCATGGGTAATGCATAGGAAATCCAAGGTTCCCAGACTAAGAAATTTAGAGTGTCAGTCTTTCAAAGTGCTGGACATTTGCTCATTAGGAATCAGATCGGTTATCCACGCCTTCACCCCCTGAAGACAACACCTGGAGTCTTCCAGACCTGGGCTATGGTCCGTTCAGCTGAGATAACCTGAACTGGTAGGCAGCCAGCCTTTGTTGATAGGCATATAGGCCAGGTATGGGGAAATGCAGAAGGGCCAATTTGGCATCCTTATGTTATGTGAAATAGGGTCTGGAGGAGCCCAAACACCTTGGACCAGAACCCCACCAGCTGTGCAACATCATGTCCCCTCGCTGGCCACAGTTTTGAAAGCATCTGTCAATACACCCAGGGTAGGCATGGGCAAGCTGGGCATGGACCTAGTACCACCTCAAGAGGACCTTATAAAGCAGCCTCAAGTGTATTTGTATTAAAGGAGCACTTGGCAATCGTAGTCCAGGCCTTACTCCAGTCTGCAATTCTATGGAAGATTGGAGATCCCGCTCTCAGTGGGACATGTAGGAAAGGGACGTTGATGACGGTCGGCCATGCAGGTATACATAAATAGTGGAAATAAAGCCGGGGGACCCTGGGGCATGCTGGCACTTGTGCTCAAAATAAGTCTTGCTATATGGGTAGGTGGATGCATGGCGAAGAGCAGAGAGCCAATGTTTAATTTGGAGGAAGCGAAAGTGTTCCATCCAAGCCCAGGCCTGAGGAGAGGAAATGATGTACCTTCGAGAAACTGTGGAAGTCCACCAAGAGAAAGCCTGGGGTTCCTCCAGGTCTGGGGGGGGGGGGGGGGGAAGGGATTGTGGGAGGTAGTTAACAGCGGTAAAAATAGGGACATCAAATTGCCCAAATATCGAACAGAGTCCCATAAACACAAGCTATCATCAGAGGGCTCAGGGAGGGTTGGCAAAGCGGGTGGGAGCCAGAGCAATGCCTGGGGTGCAATCAGGGCACAGTTGGGCAGTTCAAGAAGCATCCAAAGGGGGACATCTGAAACTGCATGGAGAATAGATAGTTGAGAGAGGTGGGCCGTAATGTAGTCTCTTGATATGTTATGGACAAAAGGCCACCCCGTAGCCTGTAAACAAAGAGTGGATCTGGGGATTCTGTAGGATGTTTCTGGGCCCACATAAAATGGAGTATCTGGTTTTGTAAGAGGGGGGGAAAAAAAAGGAAGGAACTTTCAGTGGAAACGTGCAAAAGTAGTAGAGGACTTAGTAAAACTGTCATCTTTACGGCATGAATTCTACCTATACAGGAAAGAGGGGGAAATTGCCAGGAATGCATGAGAGATGTTAAAGTGCAAAGAAGAGGGTAGTAATTGGCAAAATACAAAAAGGAATAAGATGTGGTCAGTTTGATCCCTAAATAATCAACAGAGTGGGGCGCCCAGCGATATTAAAAGCGTGTTTGTTGTTTTTCCACAAGATCAGCAGAAAGAGTAATATTCAATGCCATCATCTTCAAGGGGTTGATTTGAAGCCCCGAGATGAAGGAAAAATGGTCCAGAGTGAGCTTCAGGTTAGGAAGAGAAATATGTGCGTTAGAACCAGGAGAACATAATACGCAAAGAAATTTGTTCTGCATTAAACTCCAGCATAAGATACTCCGAAGATGTTCTCGTTGTCCCTGATCGCCTCAGCTAAAGGTTTTTATTTTGAAAGGTTCAAAATAAAAAGCGCCAGGGGGCAACCCTGCCGAGTACTTCCAAATATAGGAAAGGAGTCCGAAAAAATATCATGCATACTTAACTGAGGCAGACAGTGAGGAATACAGGGCATGGATCCAAGACAAAAAGTGGGCCCCAAATCCGCAAGGGGACATCACAAACCAAATCAAATGCCTTATAAATATCCAGAAAAAGAAGGAAACCTGGGATCTTGCGCTGATTTCTATAAGGTGGATCACTTTATGTAAGTTATCACCCACTTGTCGTCCTGGGACAAAGCCCATCTAATCCCTGTGGATAAGAGACTGCAAATAGTTGTTAATGAGCTCAAAAATCTTCCCTTCAGCAGGAAAATCGGTCGAAAAGATTGAGGGTCAAAAGGTTTTCTTCTGCTGATTTAAGGATCATGGTGATGTGAGCTTTAAGAGACTCCGGAGAAAGCCTCGCACTCTTTCGCAGATTTTGATAAGCAATTTAGAGTAGTAATCAATTCAAATATTTACTGAAAAGAGATAAACGCTGTACAAGAGAAATTGCTTTGAAAAAATTACGGGAAGAATACATACCTTTCTTGCTTTAATGCATATTCCAACATTTTTATTCTTCTAACTAGGTCTTTCTTCAGGTTTTCTTGCCCTTTCCTTTCACCTTGAAGAAAGGCTATCTGTGCCTATAAAACAAAAAAAGTAATATAAATAACCAGACAAAACAATAACAAAATGCTGCATAATGAAAAAAAACCAAAAAACTAAACTAGGAATCAATATGCTGTTTCTTTTAAATATACTATTGGGTAGCACAATGGCTAAATAGTTAGCACTTGTGCCTCGCAGTACTAGGGTCGTTGGTTCGAATTCCAACCACGGCACCACCTGTCTAGAGTTTGCATGTTCTCCCTGTGCCTGCGTGGGTTTCCTCTAGGTACTCCGGTTTCCTCCCACGTTTCAAAGACATGCTGGTAGGTGAAATGGCACCTGTCTAAATTTGGTCCTAGTATGTGTGAATGTAAGTTGGGGACCATAGACTGTACGCTCCTTAAGGGTTAGGGACTGATGTGAATGTACAAAATATATGTAAAGAGCTGCATATATTGACTGTGCTACAGTGAAGGAAATAAGTATTTGATCCCCTGCTGATTTTGCCAAACGTCAGCCATCAGACTTTAATGACTTGGAGAAGATCTGCCAAGAGGAGTGGGACAAAATCCCTCCTGAGATGTGTGCAAACCTGGTGGCCAACTACAGGAAACGTCTGACCTCTGTGATTGCCAACAAGGGATTTGCCACCAAGTACTAAGTCATGTTTTGTGAAGGGGATCAAGTACTTATTTCCCTCATGAACATGAAAATCAGTGCATAATTTGTTAGACATGCATTTCTTTTGAATTTTTTGTTGCTATCCTGTCTCTCAGTGTTACAATACATCTACCATTCAAAATTTAGACTGATCATTTCTTTGTGAGTGGGCAAACATTCAAAATCAGCAGGGGATCAAATACTTATTTCCTTCACTGTATATAAGTACCTGTAATAAGTAAAAATAAAATGTCTACTAACAGATGACAGAGACCACTTTCCACTGGACATGCAATTTTTACTCCATTCATAAATTTGCAGGCAGTGGTGTGGAGCCTGTGATGTTCAATTGAAATTTTATCTGCTAAACACTACTGTAAAAAAAACACCATGATTGGAGGATAGGCCACCAACATGACCGACAGGTCACGCAACCCGGCTCTCCCCCCAGACCTTTGGAGAATAACAGATTTTACATCATTTTACAGAGAGAACAAAATAGATTGTTTACAATGGGTCCGCTGACACCTAAATGTAGCTCAGTTATAAATGTGCAATGTTTGAAAACTTGGGAGCACTACCTCAAACACTTGAAGAAGAGCACACTAGTCACAAAAACTAAGATTCTTAATCAAGTCTGTATATTTAGACATGTAAAAGAAAAGTTGGAAGTCTCCTGAATATTCAGATTTTTCAAACTTTTACATACCGAGATGTGCCAGATTTTAAGTTAAAGTGTTACTAAACCCACAACAGTAAAATCAGTCTGTATATGCTGTAAACCATGCTTGTTATACTCACTGTGGAACCTAAGGGGTTAATCCTCAGCACTGTGTAAAAAGGATGTTTGATCCTGTCTTCTCTGATCCTCCCCTTCTTCCAGTGACCCCCTCTAATCTCCTGATAGAACAGAGGCTCGAGGGCAAACTGCTCACACTCAGTTTGGTGTGTATTGCTAGAGAGTTATTTTTTCTTGGCTGAGTGCATGTGATCAGCACAGGGTCACAGAGATCAGGGGTCCTGCATCCTCCTACAGGAGAATGAAAACTCCTCCTACAAGCTGTAACCAGTGCTCTGCTGGACACTGATAGAAGTCACAAGACTACTCTAACTGCTGATGAGAAAAGGTATTTAGCAGTTTATAGTTACTAAATTAATTGAATTTTCCATGTTCTGTGTACTGTGGGAGACCAGATATAGTGAATGCAAGGTCCTGGGTTTAGAAACACTTTAAGGTGATCAAAGAAAACATATCTACACTAGCACATTACAGCTGCTTTCTGGCTTTCTAGATATACCAACGGACTCTTTTATTCTATTCTAATTTATCCACCTCTCAAAAATAGAGTATGATTCAATTAAAAGGAATGAAATATGAATAATGAATTGCATACAGTGTACAGCATCCTAATTTCATAATTATGTACTTTATATTATGTTAACAGATGGTGGTTAGTTAACACAAATTTTTCAAATTGAACTCCTGCTGAAAACCTTTCAAGATTTATAAGAGGGAACCGAAACCCACATGTAAGCTCATGGTCCACTGTACAGGGATCACTCTTGCATATTAACTGCTGTAATGATTACAGTTCGTTATCATGGCCAGCATTCCATGCATAGCTTTCAGTCAAAGAAAAAAAGAAAAAAAAAAACTTTTTAAAGCATGCACAATAAAAGATAGGCGTGATTTGTAAGACTAAATTAAATTTAGAAGGAATGTAGGCAAGCAATGCCATCCTACCGATTTACATTTCATATGAACAATCTCCCAATGAAGAAATATGACAATTTTAAACGAGAGCTTACTACAGCTATAGTAATAACAGCCTAATGAATACCTATAGCCAAATAAAGTAAAAGGACAAATACAGTAAAATGGGGATGTTGCATTAGAAAAACTGGCAGATATTCTAACCCTTCCTTATTATATCCTAGGGGAATAAAAAAGGGAAAAAAAAGGTTGGGCTATAAATACAGATTAAAAGGATACATTGGATTAAATTTATCCCCTATATGATGGAGGGCAAAATAAATCCTAACGCCTGAGCACAGTGTTACAACTTTGATATTACGCCTACCTAAAATACACCCTGACCTTTGACTGTGACCATGACCTCTGACCTAGATCAAACCTTGATCCAGCTTTTTTAAAAAAAAAAAAATAAATAATTAACACACTGTTCTTTGTTAATACTTTTCTCCTCTAGCAATGCGAAAGAAATACAATGTATCTTTTTGTCCCCATTCAGGCTAGGTTCACACTGCTGCAGCCTGATTAGCAGTGCAATTATGTAGTGCAACTTTGATAAAACTTGGATGTGGTTTGCATATTCTATGGGACCAAAATCATTCTGAAACTGCACCAAATGTAGTACAGGAACCTTTTCCAAATTCACACCATGCTGATGTGAACAGGCATCGCCGATTCCAGTCCAGTCTCTGTACTGGAAGCGCGCTGTGCAGTATGCTCTTGGCACAAGCACGTATATTTGCAGCCTCACGGATAGAGACCCACATCCATGAGGTCGCATATATGTGTACAGTCGGTGGGAAGGGGTTAATAGGAGCCCCTGTAGGACATTTGTAAAATGTCTATTTTAAAGAGCTAAAGCGATAATCAAGCCTCCTCAGTTTTACAATAGAATAATACACTATTTTTACAAGTATCCATTTTAGTTGTGAGTAAATAGACTGAGCAACTGTTCAAGTAACATCATCCAAGGAACATGACAAACTGAACAATACACATTTAGAAGCCACTACTGCACACCTTTCACATTTATTTACAGAACAGCCAATAACATAATGGCTAATAATATGCTCCAGTGTGCTGCTTGTATCAGCAATCTTGTCTCTACAATGCAGATACAATCATTCAGGTCAGATGTGAGGAGTGTGCATAAAGCAATTCTTTCCAAGCATGTCTGTATTTTAAATAGATTATACACCAGCACGATTTTCATTTTGGACACAGCAATGTATAGTTCAACAAAGCAGCTTCACATTGAAGTGTTGGGGCATTTCATTAACCACTTGCCGACCAGCCACAGTACATTTTCTGAGGCAGGTCGGCACCGCTGCGCAAAATCACGTATATATACACACACTATTTTGCCTTTCGGGTAAAGGGCGTGCGCGAGATGCGCGACCGCCCTACCCGCGCCGATTGCGTCCACGGGTGTCAATCACGGGGTCACGGCTGGTGACCCACTGGAGCCTGGCAATTACCAGCAAACCCTGACAGGGAGCACAGCTGAAGTGTTTACACTGCAGCTCTCCTCCCTGTCAGTTTGAGCACACGGATCCGGAACGCTGAGCACAGCCTTCCAGATCAGTGTGTTACAGTGAAGCACACACCGCCCCCTAGTGAAACACTCCTCTCACGCAGTTAACCCTTTGATTGCCTCCAAATGTTAACCTCTTCCTCCCCAGTGCCATTAGTACAGTGTCAGTGTTTTGTTTTTGTTTTTTTTGCGCCGATCACTGTATTGGTGTCACTGGGGATGTCAATGACCCCAAGTGAGTTCCCCCCCCAGTGTCAGAATGTCCGCCGCAGTCCTGCCATAAGTCGCTGTTCACCACCATTATTAGTATTAAAGAAAAAAAATTCCAGTATATATACACACCGCAATTTGTAGACACTATAACTTTCACGTAAGCCAATTAATTTACATGTATTGGGATTTTTATTTAGCAAAGACATGTTGCAGAAAACAAATTTTGGTCCTAAATTTATGACAAAATGTGATTTTTGCATTTATTTTTACTGGACATGTTTTATAGCAAAAAGTCCAAAATATTGTTTTTTTTTTTTCTCAAATGTCGGACCTTTTTTTTTTTTTTTTTTATAGTGCAAAAAATAAAAACCACACAGGCGATCAAATCCCACCGAAAGAAGGCTCAATTCGTGGGGGGGGAAAAAAAAAAAAAAAAGACAAATTTCATTTTGGTGCAGCGTTGTATGACTGCGCAATTGCCTGTTAAAGTAACGAAGCGCCGTACCACAAACCATTTCCTGACCGCCCTATAGCAGAAATCCTGCTACAGGGCGGCACGAGAGCTCAAAATCACATACACATATATATATATATATATATATATATATATATATATATATATATATATATATATATATATATGCGATTTACACTCCCATTGTTTTCACTCCCCTCCCAGATAGCGTCAGATTGCCCGTCAGTACACCGGTAATCACATTTAATCCCTTGATTGCCAGAAACATGCTCCTACACGATAAACCTCCATTGCTAGCATAGTGTCTGAACGGATCAGTATCTTTGATCAGATCAGCACTATACCAGCGTTCACATTAGTATAGTGTCCCCAAAAATGCAGTGTTAGTGGCAACAGCCCCAG